GGTTGCAGGTGGCAATGGAAGTGGAAATCGTCTCGATCAACTCTCTTGCCCACAATACGTATTCGTCGATCGAGATCATTCAGTGTACGTATCTGATTGGGACAATCATCGTGTGATGAAATGGATGGAAGGTGCAAAACAAGGCATTGTCGTGGCTGGTGGTCAAGGAGCAGGAAATGATCTTACACAATTGTCATCTCCTCGAGGAGTCGTTGTCGATCAATTGGGCACTGTCTATGTGGCTGATCTAGGGAATAATCGAATCATGCGTTGGCCTAAAGGAGCCACACAAGGAAGTGTCATTGTTGGTGGAAACGGTAGTGGAGAACAATCGAACCAACTCTGTGGGCCCATCGGTTTGTCATTTGATCGACACGGGAATCTCTATGTCGTCGATTGGGGAAATCATCGAGTTCAAAAATTCAATATTCATTTAAATGTGTAAGAGTTGTTGAAATGTTTTTTAGCTGAAACGTTCAATCGAATATATGAATAGATATTAAGGATGAGGAATGAATGTATAGTCTGATATAATGAAACAATATGAGTGAATACTGATTGAGTGAGAATTTGTTATTGGATGCTGGTGAGAACACTTGCATATCATTTACTGCTTAGATGTCGACTTGAATGCATGTTCGCATTGTTAAGAGAGAGTCCACCAGAACGCTTACCATAGTCTCTAACTGTCAAATTGTATAGTATTTTGTTTGTGCGCTAGACCGATAGAGCATACTAAAAAAATAGAAAAGCCCAAATATTCTGTTTTCAAAATTCCCGTTTCCAGAAATCCAGTCCAAAGAACATTGATATATGAGGAAAATGATCATTTAATAGTCATTTTTAGTATTTGACGATTGCCTCACGGTCTATGAAGCTAAGGAAGTTGATTCATATATTTTTTGACAGAGAAGATACGAGACTATAAACCATTTTATTCTGAATCTACTTGAATATATAGAAGGGTCGCTAGGTATGAAATGCTTCAAATAATTAACTATCTGGAAAATGACGATTTTCATAACTATTTTAGATACTTTGACATGCGAATTAAGAGATGCCATGATTTGCTTTGTTATTTACATGCATGATATGGTATGATATAAAAAGAATGACATTTTTATAAAAGAGCTATATAATAATGTTTTATATTAATTCATTTAGTCACCAAAATTAACAACTGATTCATGTTCAATAATAAAACCTGAGTCAACAAGGCGTAACCTCAGTTTATTTTGAATATCTAGAGAAGTCGCTCGAATGATCACTTTCGAGAAGTAACAGATTGTGGATGATGTGCTTCCATATGCTCTACCATTGTATGCTTTTGAAAAGAGTAGTAGTTAATCTGGTAGAGCTTTGCGAATACTTCAAAATGCACTATTTTTATTTTATTAGTTATTGAATTTAAGTGATAAGATAAGTCACTTTGTAAGAATGTGCTACGTGTCCAAAAAATGTCTATAAAAGTTGCATAGATGCAGACCTTAATTGTAAATTCTAACTGATGTTGAAATAGTACATCAGACTCAATTCGAGTTGCTCTTTCTCATGATAACGTTATAAGATCGACATTCTTCTATAAAACGTGCCAAACTAAACTGGAGTTTTCAGAGACTTTCTCAGAAATCGCAAAATGAGCCTAGACAATAGTTTCACAGTTTCCATCAACATGATTTGTAGTTCACCCATTAATATTTCTACACGAAAGGTTTCGAATCAAATCAACAATAGTTGATCATATGAGATAGATGAAGATAATCGGACAGGTGCGGATTCACCGCTCTGTGCCTCAATACGACCGCATGAGCGAAAATGAGAAATTTTCATGTTTCAGTAATGGATTGTATTTGGAAGTGAACAACTCATCTGCTTTTGATGATGAGTGGCACGATCGAAATAAATTTTGAATGTGCCCCTACAATACTAGTTTGGTTCAAGTTCCAATCGTAGAGATTGTTAAACAACTTCCTTTGATGGTACGCTCCATCACAATAAATCAATATTGTCTTTTTTAATCTGTTACCCATTAATCGTATAAAGCTATTAGAACATTGAAATTTTAGGATGACAGACGGCTGAAAAAGGATGCACTGCTTCTTGATGAAATTCTGAAGAAAGCTGTTTAGCCCATTTCTTGATTTCTGAGAGCCACTGAGAATTCTACTTTTCATATGAACTCTTTTGTAAAAAAAGATTCAATCTCCTTCAGCCATTATCACAAAGAGCAATTTTAATTCAGCCTGCAGTATTATTTTAACGTCTGTCAGACATTACACTTAAGAAATACATCTATGCAACTTTTATAGCCATGTTTTGGACACATCACGCCTTCTCACAAAGTGTCA